TATGAAATTGAATCGTTTTAAAAGCACAAAAACAGAGCACAGCAAGCAGAAGACACAGGGAGGAAGCAGGAGGGGAACGGAGCAGCTGGAGAGCGCAAGGCAGGGTAACGAAAGAGAGGTTGGAAGAGTACACAACCGAGGCCCATAACCTATTAAAGGTATATGTCCAGTACAGTGTTATGTGTGTGGACAAGGCGATTGTCACAGAGGTATCCAACCAATCGAAGTGCATACGAGAACATGGATTGAAGCAAGGCGAAGGAACAAGACAGAACAAGACAGAAGGAGGGAAGTGGAACGACCGAGGTCAAGAAGGAAAATGGTACCGATCCAGGGAGATCGCTCCCATTTATAGCAGGTGGAAACACACACACAGTGGAGACAGAGAATGGACTATCACACTGAAGACAGGTGGAAGCGATATCAGCAATCTGTTGGGACCAACAGATGCCACAACAAGATGATACACCAAGATGGTACAGCAAGATGTTACACAACAAGGTGGGACAACATCAAGTACCAGAGGACACACTACGTGGTAAAGTATACCGTCTCAGATTGTGCCTCTAATACGGCATCCACTGATGCAGCGCAGCCGCTACCCATCCAACGCCACCGAGACCAAGCTGATGGCTGCCACCCTGAGCCAGCTGTATTGGTCTGCCGTCCACTCGGACTATACCGCTGAAGAGCGAGAGATGTGCTGGGCTTTGATTTTGGCCTTGCCTAGCATGTTGTTGTCTGCTCCCTCGACCGCACTGTCTACGATTGACCTGCGCAATATGTTTCACGATCGTCTCCGTTGGCTTGTGACGGGGCAACTAGGTCGGGTCGTGGACGCCATGCGCAAGGCAGTCGCACGCAAGCAGAGCCGTCGAGGACAGCTGAACGCCGGCGCGGGCGCCCACCCGAACGACGCAGTCGACCAGAGCCTCAGGTCACTCGTCCGCGACCCGGACCTGGCGGACGAAGCCTGGGCAAACCACGTCACGAACCGTCTGAACCGAGGTCAGATTGCCAAAGCATTTGATGCCGACAAGGCTCGTGCCGTGATTGGTAATTCTGAGGTTCAGGCCGTGCGCGACCTCTTGGTACCGCCCGGGCTGACCCCGTACATTGCTTCGACACCCGCCTCCACGTCTACACTGGCACCAGCCACGGCTGCGAGCTCCCCAACCGTGTCCCTTCACCAAAGGTGAGCTCC